TTGTGTCATTCGCCTGATGGAAAACGTGCTAGAAGGATATGAGACCCTTCAGGATATTCAAAGTCGCCTTCCTGACATTGATCATCACATGGATTTGATTGAACACCATGTGACAGCCATACTCCCAGACCTTTGCTGGGATCACACCTTCTCCAACCAACGTGTAGTCTTTTCAAGGTTACGCACTCTTGTTGATCGTGAACGCCAAGCCATAACAGACATAAAAGCTCAGACCGACTATGATCTTGAGAAGATGCAGGACCAATGGGAGAAGTACCGACCTAGCTTAGAAGACCTTATTGATGAAGAGCCAGAACTAATCCCTAATCATTGGAATGACGATTCTGACTCAAGAGAAAGTGATCCTCAGCATGATTCAACATCTGACAATGAATGAACCCTTGTTAGGTTTGAACCCTTGGCAAATGGGTTCTGAAAACTTACTGTTTCATGCTTTCTTATAATCTGAAAAGGTAGGAAAATACCTTTTCAGATATCTAGCATTAATACATTCGTGTACCCTTTTATCCTCTTGATTTATGATAATAAAGGCACCATTTCCAATCTCCTTTTGAATTATGAATGCCCCCTCCCAATTCGGGGACCACTTTCCTAATTGATCAACCTTCTTATAAGTTGGAAGAATAGTCTTCCAGACCAGGTCTCCTTCTTTGAATGTTCTGTAGAAGAATTTCTTTCCATAAGTCTTGGCCCTGATCTCATTTTGCTTCACAATCTGATCAATTGCATGAAGTCGGTTGACATCCAGACTTTCCAATTGCTGCAACATCATTTGTTGATATTCCTCAGTAAATTCATCATTGGTAAATTTTATGCGTCCAGAAGAGACCTGCACTTCGGCTGGCAACACAGCATCTTGTCCAAAAGTGAGCTGATATGGTGAAAACCCTGTGGCAGAACTTCTGTTATTCCTATGTGCCCATAAGGCTCGAGATGACAACAAATGTCATTTCCTTGGGTTCCTTTCAATTGTTTTCTTGATGATCCCAATGATAATCTTGTTAGCTGCTTCTGCCTGCCCATTAGCTTGGGGATAATAAGGCGAAGAATGATTCAGCCGAATGCCAAATTCTGCCAAGAAACTTAAAAACTTCTTCCCAGTAAAAACCAGACCTTGGTCGGTTGTTACTGAATGAGGTATGCCATATCTATATATGATATGATTCAGTATAAAATCAATAACCTCCTTCTGATCTACATTTTTTAAAGCAACCGCCTCCGCCCATTTGGTGAAATAATCTGTTGCAACCAAAATAAAACAATGATTCTTGGATGAGGAAGGATGGATTTTTCCAATGATATCCATAGCCCAAGATTTAAAGGGCCATGGTTTTACCATAGCTTGCAATTCTGTTACTGGTAAATGAATTAATTGTCTGTGCTTCTGACATTCTTGGCATCCCTTGGCAAATTGTATGCAGTCCTCAAAAATTTTTGGCCAAAAGAAACCTAAACGATGAATGGCCCATCTCATGTTCAGACCTGCCCGATGAGCTCCACATATTCCACTCTCTACTTCTGTCATCACCTCCAAATCCTGCTCGGGACCCAAACATTTCAAGAGCAATCCTTCGAATGTCCTTTTATATAACACTCCTTCTACCAATTGAAATCGCAAAGCTTTCAATCTAATTCCAATTGGTACATTTGCTCTTGGATCTTGCAAATACATGATGAGTTCTGTCCTCCAGTCGGTTCCTGCTTCAATCCTCCAGTCGGTTCCTGCTTCAATCCTCCAGTTGGCTCATGCTTCAGTCTCAGGGCCGACCTCCGCGCACACATCTTTTAGAATTCCTTGCAAGCTTTTTGAGCTAGATCATCTGCAAATTGATTCTTCTTTCTAGGGACGAACTCAATTATCACTTCGAAAATCTTTGATAGCAACCGACCTACCAAGTCCCTGTACTTCCGTAAGTGGGGATAATTGCAAACATACTGTTTGTTTACTTGGTTGATCACCAATTGAGAATCCCCTTTTATAATAACCGACTGAACTTTTTTGGCTATCAAAGCCTCAAATCCCAAGATCAAAGCTTTATATTATGCTGAATTATGGGTCATATCTTCCAATTGCAGCTGCAAATTGACCCTTTGACCGTCTGGTCCTTCCAACAGGACGCCTGCACCGGATCAGTTTCCTGAGGTAGAACCATCAAAAAACATTAACCATTTTCGGGTGCTTACATAAGATATACACCCAGTCGGTTGCTCCTCACAACCTGTGAAGTCTGCCAAAAAGTCTGCTATTGCCTGGCCTTTAACCGCCCTCAAGGGAGAATGATACAAATCAAAATGGGCTAATTTAATTGCCCACTTCATAAGTCTCCCCTGCATCGTAGGTCTTGCAAAATTAATTTGATGAGATCAACCTTTGAAATAACCTCAACTCTTCTAGGCAGCATATAATGTTCAAGTTTAGTGCATGCAAACACCAGTGAATAACACATCTTCTCTGGCATTGTATAATTTAATTCTGATCCTGTGAGAGTCTTGCTCAAATAATAAATTGCTCTTTCCTTCCCATCATCTCCATCTTGAGCTAATAAGCAACTGACTACTTCATGAGTATTTGCCAAATAAAGTTTAAGAGGCCGACCTTCCTTGGGAGGCATCAACACAGGTGGTTGAGCCAATGCTTGTTTTATAGCGTCTAAGGTTGTCTGTTGGTCTGGTCCCCACTCAAAGGGGCTTCCTCCTGCCTTCAATAATTTAGTGATTGGTCTGACCTTGCCAGCAGCATTGGAAATGAAACGCCTGAAATAATTTACTTTTCCCAACAGACTTTGAATTCCTTTAACCGTCTGAGGTGGTCGGCTGGTAAGAATTGCCTTGGCATTGTTAGCATCGATCTCAATGCCCCTCTCATGAACCAAGAACCCCAAGAAACTCCTAGCTGATATACCGAAAGCACACTTAGTTGGGTTCATTTTCAATATGTACTTCTTCATTCGACTGAAAGCATCCTTAAGATCTCTCAAGTGTTCCTCAAAACTAGAAAATTTGACAATTACATCATCAATATAAACTTCCATTTACTTACCAATAAGATCATGAAAAATTGAGTTCATGGCTCTCTGATAAGTCGACCCAGCATTCTTCAAACCAAAAGGCATAACTGTCCACTCATAAATGCCTAATGCTCCTGGACATCTAAATGATGTATTGTGAATGTCTTCCTCTGCCAGAAAGATTTGGTTATATCCTGCATAACCATCCATCAAACTAAGAATTCTATGCCCTGCTGCTGAGTCAATTAGCATGTCGACCATAGGCATCACATACTCATCTTTAGGGGTGGCCATATTAAGATCTCTGAAATCGATGCATATCCTGATCTTACCATTTTTCTTAACCACTGGTACAATGTTGGCCAACCAGTCTGCATAACGGCAAGGTCGTATGAAACCCACTTTGAGAAGCTTCTGAATCTCTTCTTTAATCTGAGGCATCAAGTCAGGACTCATACGTCTTGGAGATTGCTTACAAGGCTTGAAATCCTTCTTAATGGGCAATCGATGTTCTATCAGACTTCGCTCTAAACCGGGCATTTCTGAATAATCACATGCTAAACTATCAATATTGTTTCTTATAACCTCGAGCATCAATGTTTGTTGCTCATTGGACAAATAATCACTCATTCTGATTACTTTTGGAACCAGGTCGGTTCCTAAGTTAAATTCCAGCAATGGATCTTGTGCTGAATAAGTTGGCTCTGTTTTATCTAATAGATCAGGCCAACGAAATTGTTCATCTTCTTGGAAATGAACATCATGTATATTTTTTACTTTTTCTACTTTTTTTAAAAGCCGATCTAAATAATATTGATTAATAAGGAAATTACAATCTTGTAAATCTGCACCCTCCATAAGACATGTATTATATAAAGTAGGTCTGGCTTACTAAAGAGCCATATAGTACAACTGTTCTTTTAAAAGAACATTGAATTCTGGCCAATGAATTTAAAACCCTTATTTGGGTAATCATTAGCCATAAAAAACTGATACATTGGAGGTACATGACCAGAATAAAAAACTGATTCTTCAACTTGTTCTGATGCTCCAAAATGATTGTCATTTGCCTCCATTTTAAAGACCTGGTTGCCTTCCCAGAACATCAATTGTTGATGCAGTGTTGATGGTACACATTTAGATGCATGAATCCAATCTCGTCTAAGCAGGATTGAATATGTGGTATCTGCATCCACCACGAAGAAAACAGAAGAAATCTTCTTTGGACCGACTTCAATGGAGGCGACCAGCATGCCTTCTGGTTTGGTCGGCTACCTTGTAAAGCTAGTCATCTCAAAATCCATAGGAGATAGATCATGGATTCCCTTTCCTAACTTCTTAAGAGTCTTTAACGGCATTACATTGAAGATGACCCCATTATCTATGAAAACCTTTGTGATTGGTTTCCCACAAATATGAGCATTAACATACAGAGGCTTCAAATGAGACGCCATGCCTTCTGGAATGGGAGGGAAGACTATTGGAGGGACCTCTGATTGAAAATCAGGATCTGCAATTTTCGCCCATTTTGGTTCTTCTATAGACTCATCCACCAGACTTGCCCACAAAGGCTCTTCCTCAACCCAATTAATCTCTGTTATTCGGCAGGGGATACGTGGCCCTAGTCGAAATTTGATAGACCTTGAATGCTTCTCTGAAATTTCGTCTCCAACTTCAATTTCGGGTTGAACAGTCAAAGATTCCAAACGAAACTCCTCCAGTGATGGGTTAATGTTAACCTTCTCACAATATTGACACCTGAAACCCTTAACTCTTTCATCAGACAAGCCTTTTCCCTTCTTTTGTATAGACCGACCTCCCTTATTGTAATCAACAATGTCCCGTACGCTGGTCGGCTGCTTTGATGAGGCAGCCCCGATGAGCCGACCTTCCTCTGCCTCATTCGGCTGCTCGAACGAAACGACCATGATAGACCGACCTCCCTCTGAATACTTAACAGCGCCTTGGGTGTCATTCGATTGCTTTTATGAGGCGACCTTGTCTCTGTATCTCGGAGCGTACCTGCGCTTGGCATTTCAAATCTGAGTACGATTCATGCCTGAGAAGCGAGGATCCACATCAATTGGTAAATGTTTCTTATTTCGAGTCCATTTTCTTCCGACTGCACCCGTCCTCCTGGTCGGGTGGTCCCGAACTAAAACCTAGTCCTTTAATTCCACATTAAAAGAACCATCTTGGTTGTCCCATTTTTCAGCCACTGTTTTTTCACAGACCTTGAGTTTCTCCTATGGTCGGCCACTGTTTGATGAATTCCCTTTTTCTTTTCTAGAAGTTGCTTGTATATTAACCATTGTTGTGGTTACTTTTGGAAATGGTTGCTGCTCCACTCCCAAAGTAATATACTTGAGCCGACCTGCCTTAATAGCCTTTTGAATCTCATTCCGAAAATGAGTGCATTGACTTGTATTGTGTGTGAAGGAGTTATGCCATTTATAGTACGGCCTCCCTTTGATTTCTTCCTTAGTAGCCAACCTCTGCCCCTTTGGAATTCGGATCTGACCATCAGTTAGCAGAATATCAAATATCTCATCGGCCTTTGTATTGTCAAAGGTCGGTTGCCCTTTAGCTTCTGTTCCTGGTGCTGGTTTTAGCTTAGAGCAAACATAAGGCTTTCCAAAGATGATTTCGGCCGCCATCTCTTCTGTTTGATCATATTCAAAGTTGTATGCCTCTGTTTCCATACTAGCCATATGTTGGCCTTTATTACGCCTGAAATTTTTATCCCTTTCCCTGAAAAGAGATTCTAAACGTCCAGACTTGGATGCGAGGCTTGCCAAATCCTCGACATCATGTACAGTGAGTGCATCCCTTAGGTGACCATGCATGTTTCGGACCACTAAGTTGGTCATATCTTTTTCACTGATTATTGTAGGACACCGTCCTTTCATTAATCGCAGCCTTTCAATAAACTGAAGCTAACTCTTCTGGGTATTGTTTCATTTCCAATAAATCAGTCAAAGAAACCGTTGGCAAATATTGAAAAATCTGGCATGAAATGCCATCTCTAAACCTTCCCAAGTTTGTATCTGCCCAGGTGGCAGACTTACAAACCATGAAAAAACAGTCCTAGTTAGGGACAATCCAAACATTTGTAACTTGTAAAAAGGATTGTTACCAATTTCCCCTAACTGTGCTGTAAAACGCCCAACATGCTCTATAGTGGAGGATCCATCCTCTCCAGAAAAAGCATGAAATTCTAGTGGCCTGTAATTCCTTGGGAGAGGATATTCATTAATAATCCTTTCTGGAAACGGTCTCTGATAAGCAGGTCGGTTGGCCATCTGATGATTTAGACCAAACTGAACCCTCAATACGTGAGCAATTTCATCACCCAAACGAAACTGTTGATGATCAGGAACATCAATGGGATTTTGAACAGGAATAAGAATGGGATCTTGCACATGCCCCTGGTCTTTCCTCTCTTGTAATGTTCGGTTGCACATTTTCAACCCTTGGTCCCAAAGGAACATTATTTGGGAAAGTCGGAGGAGTCTTTCCCCTATCTGTTCGGTTGAAGTTTGTGGCGCTTGGAAGTGTGTTGTCCATATATGATGGCCCTGCAAAATTTGCTTGCATTCTTGATGGTGACACCCCTGGCGGCGTCTGGGTGGGTTGAAGAGTAACCCTTGATAATGCTTGATCTAACATGTTCTGCATAAGATTTTGTTGCTCGCGCAACATGTTCTGCATAACCACAGTTTGCTGATTGTTCATTTGTTGAACATAAGACAACTAATCGGTAGGTGGTTGGGGAATCTCCCCTGGATTTGGCATGACTGGTGGTGAAATATTTTCTCCCACCGGTGCTGATGATGATTGAGGTTGTGAGCCTGCCATATCAATCTTTCTGATGATTCGGCCAGACCTCAGTCGTATGAAATTCTCTGTTGATGTAGTCTCATCAATCTTGCCTTTCTCCCACTGTGGTCGTCAATTTGTTGATGTATTTTTTCAACAAATAAAAAGTAAAATTCAAAGATATGAAAATATCCTTAAATTTGATTAATTAGCGTATGAGATTAGGAATCTCTAAACACTGTACGGTACACAAGAAAATTAACTGGAAAATAAAAATGCTGAAAATTTAAAGTGGTGATCCCCGAATCTGACTTTGCTTTGTTGAAGTTGATTGAAGATGATTTCTCCAGAAAAATCCAAATCCTTAAATACTCCTTGAGAAACGGTACTGGAAATCGTCGCCCGAACGGTTACAAAGTCTCTTTTTCAACCGTCTGCTAACCCTTCTCCTGCTTACACGTACCCTCAACCGACCACAGTATCATTCTCACTTACTCTCAACAGTGTCTAACTCCCTGGACCGACCGCAGACCTTCCGCCTCTTTGGCCCGACCGCAAATCTTCCGCCTACAGACCATCCGACTTGTTAGTCCAGCCGCAGACCTCCCGACTTAAAGACCATCCGACTTCTTGGTCCAGCCGCAGGCCTCCCGACTTAAAGACCATCCGACTCATTGGTCCAGTCGCAGACCTCCCGACTTAAAGACCATCCGATTTATTGGTCCAGCCGTAGACCTCCCGACTTAAAGACCATCCGACCTGCGGACCTCCCGACCTGAGGATCTTCCGACCTGCGGACTTTCCATCCTGAGGACTTTCCGACTTGCGGACCTCCCGACCTGAGGAGTTTCCGACCTGCGGACTTTCCGTCCTGAAGACTTTCCGACCTGAGGACCTCCCGACCTGAGGACCTTCCGACTTGCGGACTTTCCGTCCTGAAGACTTTCCGACTTGAGGACCTCCCGACCTGAGGACCTTCCGTCCTGTGGACTTTCCGTCCTGAGGACTTTCCGTCCTGCGGACCTCCCGTCCTGAGGATTTTCCAACCTGCAGACCTCCCGACCTGAGGACCTTCCGACCTGCAGACCTTCCGACCCGCTATTTCCTTAGAAATATATCTATTTTATCTGAGTTTCCCACGGTGCCCCTCAGCCAGTTCGATCAACTCGATTGCTAGGCCCATTTTTTCTTTTTACCTTGGGCTTTTTAACCTAATTCAAAATTTCATACGTAACAATATGTAAATGGTAAAAATAATATTTTGAATTTAGACGGAGAAAATATTGTTTTCAATATATATAATATATTTATTTAATTATTTTATCAAAAAGTAATATTTAATTTAAAATATTATTTTTTAAGGTACTATACAATTTTATTCTTTATCATATAAAAAAAATATTATAAATTGGAAACTAAAGAAACAAATCCAAAATTATTGTAAGTATGTGATAAACTCATAAATAATATTTTGACAGCGTTTGCCACGCGCTGCAAAAATTAAATAAAGTATATCTACTTTTATTATAAAAATAGAAAAATATAGTTGGAGTAGGTCGTCTCCTCAATCAACTCAAAATGTATTTATCTTCAATTGTTCAATAAACAATAAAGGGGGGTTTGGAAAGAAGTGAAATTAAACTAAACTAAATTAAAATAAAGCAAAACGAGAACGAAACTAGCAAATTAAAAATCTATGGAAAATTCTACGATTGAATTTCGATAAAGACGAACTCTTAGCCTATGAATAAAATTGACAACTTGGATTTTGAACTTGATCATCGATAAATATTTAATTTCATTGATTTCTAATTAAATTAGTTTTAGTTACCGACACGCGTCTAATAACCAACTCTTCATTTTTCTCGACAGTTTAGGTATGTCCGTCAACTGCTTCCCTAATTAGACTAGAACCCTAGTGATGCCACAAAGAATTCACTAGTCTAACGGCCTTGCGAACTAGAAAAACCTAATTCAATTTAACAATTACCTATGCGAATTGTTTAAAATTGATTATGTGATTTCCTAGTTGCTATTTGAACCAAATTAAAAAACAAACGCATAATTTAGTTTACCAGTTAATCTTTAATTTAATTGAAATATTCGGCCAAAATACACAACTAAACTAAGGATTATAAATCAAAGAAATTATAAACTACATAAAGAGGAACTAAAGAAATATCATAAATCAAAACAATCTAATATCTCAAATTCATACCAAGTTGTTTTTCACTCCTAAACTAGAAAAAATAGATCTACTTGCTAATCATATGGGAGAAAACAAAAACAATAAAGAAAGTGACATCTCCTAAAAATGATAGATTGGTAGGGGATAGAAATCAAAATTTTATTGAATCCTTTTCCTTCATGCCTGCCGCACCTTGCAATCTTTTTCCGGGACTATTATGCTCTGTAATTTCTTGTTCTCTCTTGTTCGATCTGAAAGTGGCCACCTCCTGCCTTTTGACATTGGAAAAAGTAATCTTTATTTATTTATTTTTGTTGCAATCTTTATCCATATCTTGTAACAAAATCAAATTTTATCATAATTTCACTTTTTTTCCAAGATTAAATTTGCAATCTTTTATTTCTTTGACACTCTTGCCCCTCTTTTATAATATCCTGCACTTGATACCAAAAATAATATTTTACGTAGAATTTATTGTCAAAATAAATATTAAAATCCAAACATAAATACAAATAAATTCTACTAAAATGTGTCTATCACGAAAAGAATAATATCTTTGATAAAAATAAGTTCTTAAATATTTATACAAATATAATATTTCTACCATTGATACATTTGGTTTTTGTTACACTGGTATTTAATATAATAAAATTTTAATAATTTAATAATAGTAAATTATTATGTTATTATTATTATTTTAAGTTTTATGAAAGTGATATTGTTAATAGTTAAAGTATATATTAAATTTTTTAATGGAGAAAAAATATATTCTTTTTCCTGAAATAAGATATTGGTTTGATTTTTGCACTGTGCTATAAATCAATATAAAAAATATCAAAATGCACCTATTAGTATAATATAATATAAAAATAATAATATTTGCATAATTGGGAAGGTTACTGTGCTGATTTGGAAAAATCAGTACCGTGTAAAATACAAAATCAGCACAAGTCTTTATTAAAAGCAATATGTGTTGTTTATTTATATTACACGTGTGTTATACAAGTGTATATCATATGCTAAAATGAACTGCTATATGTGCTATGTGAGATTATATTATGTGTTGTTAATTCGTGTGCTATGTTTGTATTATATGAATATAAATGATGTGTTGTCACTTACATTACCGTATGTTGTTTGCTATATATAGTTGTAATGGGACGGACTAAAATAGGAAAATAGATAGTTTGTTATGGGACGGAGGGTGTATTAAATTAAAAAATAATATTATTTTATTAATTAGTATAAATGTATTAGTCAATTTTGACCTTTTTGTCTTTGTATTTTATATATAAATTAATTATATATGTAATGATATGTTTGTAATTTAGATAAAAATTTTAAGAAAAATATTTTGATATTAATTTGTTATTTCTTTTACTTTAATAGGAAAGCTATATTTTTTTGAGAGGAATCAGACGACAATAATAAATGAATTTATGTACTTTTTGATAAGACGGGGGAGTATATAATAATATTAAATTAATTTTAATTTTCTACTTATTAATCTTATTCAATTTTATCATGTATGTATTTTTTAAAAATTTATTTGGTTTTGAGTATTATCTTATAATATACTATCTTTGTCCGGCTCTAATGGTCTCATTTACTTTTTGTATGTTAATTTTTTAATATTAATTATTATATCAAAACGTAGTACAAATTAAGGAAAAAGAACAAAAATACTTCTATTGTCTTATAATACTATTATAATGACATTTGTGCAAAAATTTATACAAATATAAAAATATTTTTAATGTTAAGTACAATGAAACGAGACCTTAGAGTCAACAGATCATGGAGTATATTTTTAAATTTTGTAGGTTATATCCAAATTTTAATTTTTTTTATTGGAAGAAAAATTTAGAAAATTTGTGCAGAAATTATGATAAATTTTAATATATATATAATTATTTTTACTTTAATTTCATAAGATTATGGTGTATGTATATTTTTAAAATTATTTATTGTATTCTTTTTATTTACTACTCATCAATTATTTTTTATTTTTATTGAGTATGTATTTTTTTCCAATAGATTTGATTTCGAGTATTACTATTTTGCAACTTTTGACAATTTTATTTTTGTATTTTGATTAGCTACTACTGATTCTACAGCTTTAAATTATCATTTTTCATATTTTTAATATTTTATTAAACTAAAATTTGAAATTATAGATTAGTGTGAAGAATATGTATATATTTATTTAAAATATATTCACAAAAAACAAAAAAAAAAAATCATAATTAAGGTTACATTTGTATTTTTTTCTAATAAATTTAGAAGCTTTGTAAGTTTTTTTAATATATATATATTTTATGACATGGGAATCAACAATCATTATCCGAAAGTGAACATTGGGTAAACCTCTGGCGGAATCTAATACCCTGCAAACTAGGCACGATATACAAGTCGCAAGAGGCGAACCATGTGTGGCAAGTGATATGAGGCGTCGGGAGTTTGAACCCATGACCTCACGGTTACACGTCCAACCCTCCAGGCCGTCCCTATTTATAAATTATTTATATATAGAAGTTATTTGACATTAATGTATTAATACAAGAGTATGACTTGTTGGTTAAGTTCTATCTATATTATTTTTGAGGTTTTGGATTCAAACCGAAGTACCTTTACATTTTAAAAATATTTTTTTATGCATTAAAAAGAATTAGACAAAGTTAATATTAATAGTATTATTGATATTTTGCATATAAAAATATTAGGAAGTTTATTTTATTTAATTATTTATATTTTATTATAGATAAAAAAATATATTATTTATATATATTTATGGCCCTAATTTTTGTTTTAAGATTGTTAATATTAATACTATTATTGATATTTTATTTAAAAATTCTAAAAAAAAATTATTTTATATAATAATTTGTATTCTATTATGGGTAAAAGAAAATCGGAGTAGATCATTTATATATATTTAGGGGTCTATTTTTGTTTTAATTAATTTTTTTTGCACTAAAAAGATAATAAATATTAGACAAAATTATTATTATTATTATTAGGCTTAAAAATGGCATAAACCCCCTTATACTTTAAAAAACGTTTCATTAGACTCATTTTTATATTTTTTTGGTGATGAGAAGATGACTTTTCGTTTATATTTTTTGCATGGCGGAGGTTTCATATAGCGTTAAAATATAAGGGAGCGTTACGCAATTTTTAAAATTTATGCTAGAAAAAATATTTTTTTAATTTATATTTTATTTTAGGTAAAAAATATTATATATATATATTTAAGGGCCCCTAATTTTTATTTCGCCCCGACCCTTCAAAAGTCAAAAACGCCCTGCAACCCCACACCACCGAATCATCCCATTGTTGTCTAAAGTGTTGTATTTTATATTTTTATTATTATAGATTTTTTTATTAAACTTATTACTTTTATTTAATTATATAGAATATTTTTATGTATAAAATATTTTGTACTTTATTTATTTATTTATTTTTAATATTTTATTTATGTATATATCCATGCATAATGCATAAGTACATGCTTAAATGCTAGTTGATTTAAAATAGATCAGTGTATCAATTATAAATGCATATGAGCACTTAGAGATAATAATAAAATAATAATAATAATAATAATAATAAACTCTTTTTAATAACCTAAGCATAATTAGAAAAAATAAAAACAAATCGTAACAACAATTTTATTTTTTCTTTGAATTTGATTCTTGGTAGTGATAAATATAGGGTTTGTTCGTTTGAAGAATTTTACCAAAATTCTACTATTCATCCAAAATTTTTCCCCCAAAAACATTAAATTAAACACCTATTTTTCATTTTTTATATTATACTAAAAATCAATTTTACATTCAAAACATCACATCAACACCTATTTATATCACATTATACAACTATTCAAATTCAAAATTTTTACTATTCACATCCCAACTCAAAATCCAAACCCCCAAACAACCTAAGTAATCAAGACAAGTGGCAGCGGCTAAAAACGGTGGATGGCGACGAACGCAGCTAGGGTTTCGAATTTTGAAAATTGGGCTATGATACTATGTTAGGATTCAAGGAATTTTTTTTTTAAAAAAAAAATTGTATTAATTATCAAAATAAAAAACATATATATATATAGACATAATCCAAAACGGATAAAACTAACAATAAAATAAACAAACAAAATAAATAATATTTCAAAGAAAAAAAATATTTTCAAATGAAACGATGAAATTGATAAAAACATACATATATATATATAGACATAATCCAAAACGGATAAAACTAACAATAAAATAAACAAACAAAATAAATAATATTTCAAAGAAAAAAAATATTTTCAAATGAAACGATGAAATTGATAAAAACATACTTATATATATATACAGACATAATCCAAACCGGATAAAACAAACAATAAAATAAACAAACAAAATAAATAATATTTCAACAACAGAAAAAAAAAATCAAATGAAACGATGAAATTGAGAAAAAAATATACTTTAAGTTATCGTAAAATTTAAAAATTCTAACTTAAATTGAATATATATAGAACATCTTATATAAAATTAACTTAATTAATATTGATAATTATAGTAAATAATTATTAAATAAATATTAACGATTAAATATTGAATTTTTTAACTTACTGAAATTAATAATATGTAAACTTAAAAAGAGTATTGAAAATAAAATTAGCACATAAAAAAAGAAAATATAAAAAGCCAATATAGTTGCACGGCACACACTAGTAATAATAATAAGCAGAATCTTCACTTTTAACTCTGGTTTTATGTTAGCATTATTCTTTCCCGTGATTGCATCAATATTTAAAAACAACATTCACAGAGATATTACAGGGCTTCGCTAAGATCCATACAGTTGGTTGCATTTCTTAATGCAACAATGCATGCCAAATAGTCAAATTTGTTGAATTCAATTATTCCAATACTAACAGGTTTTGATTTGTCCTTTTCATAATAATAATAATAATAACAACAATATAACACTAATAATAATAATAAATAATAATATCCAGAATCCCAATTGGCAATTGGTATTATAATACTTTAAAAGGTCAAAAAGACGTGTATATAGAGTATATATATATATATTTTTTGGTTGAATTTAAAAAAATTTAATTTAAATTTAATATTAAAATAATATTTGATGATGTATCTGTCAAATAAAAAATTTTATATATATATATATATATTTTTTTTTTTTGTCTGAAAACGAAAAAGTAAACAAACCCATAATTTCCGTCATACTACATTTGTACTACTCGAATGTGTACAGCAAAAAGATACCCCTTTTAATGTGTGCAAGCAACTCCACCACAGATAAACAAAAATGGAGAGAGAGAGCATGGAAAAAGTGAATTGAGCCCTCAACCCAACCCAACCCCTACACAACCCAAGAAGTAGAACCTCTTGCTCTGGTTCTTGTGACAGGGACTGAGTGCGGCCCAGACATCTTCCCATTCCATTCCATTCCCTCAAATGGTTTAAAACCCTAACCTCATCTCCACAAGATGAGAGACAAGACAAGACAAGACCCACCCCCAGAAAACTCTGGTCCATGATGAATAAGGAGGAGAGGCAACAAAAATTTTGAGGGGATAAAAAGGGATGCTTTGAGTAATCAAGAACTCCTCCTCCTCCTCTTCGTCCACCAATGTTTATGCCCAGAAACCCCTTTTGGTTCATCCCTCTATTTCTGGCCATTGCCCCCATTCTTGGGGCCATCCCAGCATCCAAATCTGCACAAGACTTAACCACCATAGTGTACAAGGGGTGTGCAAAGCAGGATCTATCAGATCCTACAGGGGTGTACTCCCAGGCCCTTTCAACCCTATTTGGGACCCTAATTTCACAGTCCTCCAAGGCCAAGTTCTCCAAGACAAGCTCCGGGAGTGGGCAGAGCACAGTGACAGGTCTGTTCCAGTGCAGAGGTGACCTCTCCAATGTCGACTGCTACAACTGCGTGAGCAAGCTCCCCATCCTCATCGACAGGCTGTGTGGGAAGCCCATTGCGGCAAGAATCCAGCTCTTTGGGTGCTACATGCTGTATGAGGTTGCAGGGTTCGCCCAAATATCAGGGATGGAAATGCTGTACAAGAGCTGCAGTGGGACAAATGTAGGAGGGGCTGGATTCGAGGAGAGGAGGGACACGGCCCTGTCGTCGCTGGAGAATGGGATGATGAGCAGCAATGCCAATGGAGGGGGTTTCTATACAGCGAGCTATCAATCTGTTTATGCTCTGGGCCAATGTGAAGGGGATGTGGGAGCTTCTGACTGCGTCGAGTGTGTGAAGAGTGCAGCCCAGAGAGCCCAGGTTGAGTGCGGCAGCTCTATTGCGGCGCAGATATACCTCCACAAGTGCTTCATTAGCTACACTTATTACCCCAATGGAGTCCCTAAAAGATCTTCATCGTCTCCGCCCTCCTCATTTTCCTCGCCTTCTTCACCAGGTACCTATACCTTTTTCTAAAGTAGAGCAGATCTGATCTCATGTACTAATAATTGATGGTTGATTGATAACAAACGAAATACTACCTAGTAGTAGCAGCAGTAATAACTAAAAAAGTGAATCTAATGCAATTAAATTGAATTGTTGTTGGTAATGATTAGGTTCAGGTTCAGGTTATGGTTATGGTTATGGTTCAGGGTCAGGGCCCAACAGCAACAGCAACACCAACACTGGAAAAACAGTGGCTATAATATTGGGAGGAGCAGCTGGTGTAGGGTTCTTAGTCATATGTATGCTGTTTGCAAGAGGTTTGGTCAAGAAAAAAGATTCCAAGTATTGAACTAGTAGTAGTTGTAGTTGTAGCAGTGTGATATTCTTTTTCCTTATTGGTCATGCTTTTAATTTTTAATTGTCTTGATGATGACGAGGATGATTATGATGGTGCTTCTTCCAACGTGTACAGATTACTGAGAGCCAATGCGACTAACAATAATAATAATAATAATAATAATTACAATAATATTTTGATTGACTGGAAATTACGGGTAAGGCTAAGGCTAAGGCTAAGGGTGGTGTGTTATTGTTGAGGAAAAGAGACAGAAGGACAGACAAGTGAAGGCAGGCAGGCGATGGTATGATATGCTACGCTAGGAGGAGGGAGGAGGGGATCCACTTTGATTGTGTTTTTATAGTTAATTATTAATCTGAGTGAGTGAGTGAGAGTTTATTGTTGATTGAATTTGAATGGAATGGATAGCAGTACAATCATTGCAGAGATCGGTCTTTGGTTTGGTGGTTGCGAGTGGGCGGGGATGGAAAATGCAAATGCAAATGCAAATGCAAATGGAGATATTAATTAATTAATGTGACTAGCTAGCGAACTTCTTGTTTTGCCTTTCCTTGTTTGTGTTGTCCCCGTTCTCCCATGTGACCTTTATTTGTCCTTCTTCTCTCTCTCTATGGAAAAGCTAAATTATTTTTATTTTCAAACTAAAATACTTATACTTTATTTGTATTTGGAAAGTGCATTATTTTTTCTTAATAGTATTTTATGTTTTTAAAATATTACATAAAATTCTCTTTCTAGAGTTTTTGTATAATATAATTTTGAGGAGATTTTTTATAATATTTTTAAAAGATAATAGTTTTGTTCATACAATTTTTTAATCATAATAAAGGATTGTGAAAAATTTACAAACCACAAATAAATTATAAGTAGTTTTGTTTTATTTTTAAGTAGGCATATTATTATTATTATTGAATTTGTTAAAAAGTGTAGCACGTTGCTCCAGCAAATCAAATTGAAAATTTCAAAAACAATCCCATGCAACCTAGCAAGCTAGTGCTAGGCAGCTATCCTCTTCTCTATTAAATCACAACTTCACTTCATCAATCCACGCATGAAACTTCTATGCACTGCCAAGGCTGTATGTTTGCTAAACAAAATTGTTCAAGTGGCACTAATAACATTTTAAATATTGGCACCCGTTAAATAGTCTTTTGTCTGCCTCCAAGCGTCATATTTATTTTTTGGATCACTTGCTTAACATTAAAAATATCTTTATATTTGTATAATTTTTTGTACGAATATCATTATATTAATATTATTATAAGACACTAATGAAAGTATTTTTGCAATTTTTTTTATTTGTACTACATTTTGATATAAATAATTAATATTCAAATATCAATATGCAAAAAGTAAATAAGACCCTTAGAGCCGGACGGAGGTAGTATGAATTAACATTATATGATTCATACTTCTAAACTTTAGGTAGGCCACGAAGTTTTTAGAAATTGTGTAATTAGTAAGTAATTAAAAAATGCATTAGTAAAAATAAATATAATTTAATAAAAAAATTATAAATTAATATTAAAATAACTAAATAGTTTAATTAAAATTAAAAAAAATTATAAATTATGAATTTTAAAATATAATTAAAATGTATAATTATATTTCCAAAAACAACAACAAAAATTGTGTGGGATATACCAAAATTTAAATGATGTGGGTTAAAGAAAATGTTATATTAATATAAATAAAATAAATGAACTGAAAATATATCATAATAGTCAACATAGTACATAATATCATTTATTTCAAACACAAGATATCTATATTAATATAACTCAATAAATATGAATTTAAGGTAAATAAAAGTGGTCGAGTGTGTTTACTTCACTACCACAAAAATGTCTATTTATCTGGAAAAATTGTTTCGACAAAAAACGTCGAGACAATCTTGTGTCACGGAACGTTATTTTGACACAAATTAGTGTCTCGACCATGGTTTGAAACAGCACTGCGACAATTTATCTCGACCATAATCTTGAAAGTTATTTTGTGACAATGTATTGTTGTATATTTGTCTTGAAATACCCCCGAGAATTGAAATTGTCTCGAAATAAGTTTCGAAAAGTATTTCGAGAGTATGAATTGTCTCGAAACTACAAAATATATTCCGAAATTTGAATTGTCTAGAGATAAATTGCAAAAATATCTCGGGAGTGTAAATTGTCTAAAAAATAAGTCACGAAAGTAATCCGAGAATATATATTATCTCGAAATGAGTTGCTAAATATGCTCTGAGAGTATAGATTGTCTCGAAATAAGTCATACAATATATTTCAAAATTTGAATTGTCTCAAAAATAAATTGTGAAAAATATGAAAGAGTCACAAAAATATTCCGAGAGTGTCCATTGTCTCAAAACAAGTTGCAAAATATATTTCGAGAGTAAAAAGTATCTCGAAATAAATTACGACAAATATTTCTAGAGTTTGAATTCTCTTGAAATAAATTGAGAAAAATAGTCCAAAAGTAAATTTTTTCTCTAAATATGTTATAAAAAAAATTGATTTGTATGCGTACTTGATCTTGTTTAATCAAAATTTTGACCCTTAATTTTTTTTTTAATTTTTCCAATTTACTTGTTGTGGCGTCGATTTCAACATCTCATTATTATTATTATTATTATTATTATTATTATTAGTTTATTACCGTTACGGATTAAATTCACTATTAATTCCACATCATTTTATTATAATAATTGTGATTTTGGTGTGATTTTTTTCGCATCAATTTCTTTTATTTGTGTAGCATTAGTTTTAATTTGTATACATGCAGTATAAATTTAATTATAAATATTGTTTTTATTATTTTCTAAATATAGAAATAAATCATATATATAATATTTTGATACACTAATTTACATTAAAATATGCTCCTATGTTCATAAGTAATTTTGTCAAATCCTTTGTAGATCAAGCGGTAAGACATCCTTCGGTCCTCGAAGGTTGGGTCCCAAGTTCGATCCTTAATTAAAAATTAAATATATCTATCCATAATTAAAATAGATAAATATTTTATCCAAAATACAAAAAAATAGAATATTATTAGGAGGGAATTCTCCCACTCAAATATTTTTCACACTCCCATTACTTTCACCCACATTCACATTAATTCACTCTATTTCTTTTGCACACCTATTTATTTTACACGTAAGTTATTTCTTAACCTCATTAAATTATTATTTTGCTCTGGCCAAACAATTCCTGCGGACCACCTTGCTTTTGTTGTCGTTGGATCCACCGCTGCTGCCATCGGATCTTCTCCTGGTATTAAATATATTTGTTTTCTCAACCTCTCTGTTGCTGCTGCCGTTGCCGGATCCACCACTATCACCATCGAAATTTCTAGTATTGAATTTCTGGTATTTTTTTTTTATATTTGATAATTTTTTATCTTTTTCTTTGCCAATATCCTCTCCTTTCATCTATCTCTTTTCATATCGTCCTACGACTGATTTTGCAATATAGCAAAAACATAAAGAAAAGAATATAATAATATAAATATTTTGCAGGATTTATATATAATTTTACTATTTTTTTTATTATATAGTGAGAATTTCATTTTTATTTATATGTTGCAGAATTTTTTTTATTTAATTTGTATATATATAGGTTTTTTTATTTTTTCCATGAGTAGAGAGATTTATCTCTATTGCAGGATATATATAGGCATTGAAATATTTATATATATATATTGTATGATATGTATACTTGCTATTGTAATATTGAAATATTTATATATTGGATTATATATATTGTAGGATTTTATTTGCTTTTATTTCAAGAGAAAAAAGTTTAATAGAGAAATAGACGTGACAACCAAAGTTCTTGCATAGAAGGCTGCTTGATGGCTTCTGCTAAGAAGAAATAGGAGAGCTATTACAAGAAGCAACCTATCCGGTATGCCGATCAACTCTTTACTACTATATATTCTTATTGGAAAACTTGGAGATAGATAAAAAATATATGTATATGAAATAGTTTCGACAAAATATGATTGTGTTGTTGAGCATATTTTTTGGGAGTAAAAACTTTTCTTCCGGACTATAATATTTGACTTATTAGATCAATGCTACTTGTTTCTTTCAAAAAAAAAAATTTATATGCTTAAAATAATTTATATGTCAAATGTATAATATAAATTTACTAAGTGTTGTTATTATAGTTGTTCTATACAATTATATGAAGTGTCAATTGTAATTGCTAATAGGAATTAGATATAAGTTGAATACTTTCTGAGCTTGAAATTCACCAAAATTTATTGGTGCAAATCAAATGACATGTATGCATCCAAATCGGTTGTTAAAGTTGATGTAATTTATTTACTTCGTAATGTTTTATATTGTATATTTTTTTTAATTTTTTATAATATTCTATATATGTATAGGAAATTCTTATAAAGTCCACGCTCAAGATATCCAAAATAATTTTGTTCAAGCATCTCTAAAGAATCTTGTTGATTCATAATTGCATACGGTGGATTTATTTAGTCGTCTAGTTGAGTGTTAGAGTTAGGATCAAGCGAAAAGACAGCTAGAGTGATGCTTCATGGTTCTTGTGTGTTTGTGTGAAGTGCAATATGAACATTTAAGATTATAATTTTATTTTATGATATTTGATATGCACTCACCAAAATAATTAATTTATTTTGGCATTAGATTGTATAACTTTTTAATTTTGTATATTTCTATACTTATTTGAAATTATTGCTATAGTTATTTGATATAAGTTATAGTTTTGGATATTGTTACAATTATTTTGAGATATAATATAGTATACGGTCTCGATTATTGTCATAATTATTTAAGAAAAAAATATCATATCATTATTATTGTTGAAGACAACGTATAGTTTTGATTTGGAGATAAAATGTAGTCTCGGATATTGTCATGATTTTTCGCGACAATATAATCTAAAAAATTGTCATGTCCGTTTAAGATAACATATTTTCGGAATGTTGAGATATTTTAAATATTCAGTTTTAGATTTAGTAGATTTATATCTAGATTTGATCTTATTCATAGATTAGATTACTTAGATTTGAGTCTATCGAGTGTATTTTGTATTGCCTATATATAGGCTCCTTATTTTGATGATCAATAAGACAATCTCATTATTTTTCCCCAAAATTTCTAACATGGTATCAGAGCCTATTTTTCTCATACCGTAGATATAGCCTACCAACCCGCGTTTCTCCGGGTACATTCAACATGGGATGTACCCGGAGGTCTCCCAATTTTGAAATTTTTTTCTATAGTTTTTAGCCCTTTCTTTTTCTAATTTTGATTTTATCTTGAGTCCTGATTTTGTCTACGATTGAAGTCATGTCTGCGCATCTGTCTGATTCAATGATCCATCTGCTGCGTTTCTCCACAGTCATGTTTCTGATTGCAATAAGAGTCCCGTTATTTCCGATTTTTGTGGAGAGTACTCCCGTCGTTTTCTACTCCAGTAAAGCGTCATCTCGTTTTCGGCTCCGGTGGAGTCATCTTGTTTCCGGCTCCGGTGGAGTCATGTCGTTTTAGGCTCCGATAGAATCATGTCATTTTCGGCTCTGGTGGAGTTAGGTCGTTTTCGGCTTCGGTGGAGTCATGTCGTTTTCGGCTCCAGTGGAGAGTCATCTCGTTTTCGACTCTGGTGGAGAGTCATATCGTTTTCAGCTCCGGTGGAGTCATGTCGTTTTCGGCTCTAGTAGAGTCATCTCGTTTTAGGCTCCGGTGGATTCATCTTGTTTACGGCTCCGGTGGAGTCATGTTGTTTTCGGCTCCAGTGCCCATCTCATTTTCGGCTCCGGTGGAGTCATGTGGTTTTCGGCTCCGGTGGAGTCATGTGGTTTTCGGCTCCGGTGGAGTCATCTCGTTTTTTGCGGCTCCGGTGGAGTCATCTCGTTTTTGGCTCCGATGGAATCATCTCGTTTTCAGCTCCGGTGGAGAGTCATCTTGTGTTCGGCTTCGGTGGAGTCACATCGTTTTCGGCTCCGGTGGAAAGTCATCTCGTTTTCGACTCCAGTGGAGAGTCATCTCGTTTTTTGCTTCGGTGGGTGGAGAGTCAGCTACTAATTTTATTTATATTTTCTTTTTGTGTTTATATTCGAATTTCTTATCAAACTCAAGTTGGTTTCTATTATACCACTTGAGTTTGAGGGGGGATGTTGAGATATTTTAGATATTCATTTTAGATTTAGTAGATTTATATCTAGATTTGATTTGATTCATAGATTAGATTACTTAGATTTGAGTCCATCGAGTCTATTTTGTATTGCCTATATATAGGCTCCTTATTTTGATGATCAATAAAACAATCTCATTATTTTTCCCCAAAATTTCTAACACGGAAATTATCACGGTCGTTCGAGACAAAATATAGTCTCGAAAATTATCACAACAATTGGATACAAAACATAGTCTTAGAAATTATCACGATTGTTCGAGACAAAATATAATCTCAACGACGCTTGTGAGTATTTTCGAGACAATCTATTGTCACGACATTTTCTCGGTCAATTTGGCGAGATAATTTGTCTCGCAATTCCGTGACTTCTCAGATTGTCACAATGAAACGGCAAGGGCAAAGGTTTCGAGACAATTACCGAGAGTATTCAAAAAATTGTCTCATATCTCTATAAATTGCGAGACAATTTTTCCGAAACAATTCTACATATTTCTGGTAGTGCTTGTAAGATTTTGGTTTTTGGTTTTGATTTTGAACAGTAAAATTTTGAATTGAAATAGTTATTTGATGTGATATAAATATGTATTGATGTGATGTTTTGAATGTAAAAATAAATTTTAGTATAATAAAATAAATAAAAGATAAATATTTAATTTGATGTTTTTGGAGGAAAAAATAATTGGGAACGGTAAAATCATGTTAAAAAAATTACAAGTAAACATTAAGGTTTCTTTCTTTTATCTTTTCAACTCTATTTCTTTGCATTAATTATCAAATTTTATATTATTAAAAATTATTATATCAAATATATATTTTATAAAAATTTATCATATATATAGTATTATTATTTTTGCTTGTCTAGAATTGATTTGTACATTTCACATTATAAAGTTGACCACTAAGACCATCCACGACGGGAGGCGCTTCCAACTTAGCGCCTCCGACGTCATCATTTTATTAAAAATAAAAAATAAAAAAATTGATCTGATATAGGAAACCGAATACTGCGATGTTGAAGTTCTTCCATGTAATTCCTCCTTTTGGGTGGAGCCAAGTGCTTATTTTTATATTTAATTAATAATATTAAAATTATATATATCATATTTATATTAATTTGTTTGGTTTAAAAATTTTATTTAAATTTATTATATAAATTTTATTTAATATTTGTAATAATAGTAAATTTAAATATATTTTTATTTTTATTTTAAATAGTTTTTAATGAATATTTTATAAAACATTTAATCTAATATCTACTATTAATTTAATTATAATTATTGGTTAAAAAATAATTTTTTATTAACATATATAACTTAATTAAAATTACACATAATACAAATAAAAATAAAAGTAAATGAAAATATTCATAAATTTAAAAGTAAACTTACATGATTTAATTAAAATTACACACAATACAAATATTAATTGAAAATGCATAAAACTATTCATAAATTTAAATGCAAATTTACTCAACCTAATTAAAATTGCAGACAATACATATAATAATTAAAAAACATGAAAAAATCCTAATAAATTTGAATGCAAACTTACGGAAAGCATTCGCGTGCCAACCTTTCTTTCACTCCTTTTTCAAAATCAGTCAGATTATCATCACCTTTGGCCATTAACATCATGAGCATCTCCATCTTATTTGAAGCAAGTTGTAGTCGTTTAGCATCCCGATCAATTTTTCTCGATGTTTTTTTCAGTCTTTTAGCTTTCAGAAGTGCTTCTATTTTTTCGGGTTGTTGCTTCAAACTTTGTTCCTTGACTGCTGCCATATGTTCCATACTTGAGCTAAATTCGCTGCTTTTTTCGTAAAATTTTTCATATTTTTCAGTAGGATTTGAATAGAATTCCTCGTTTTGCACCTGTTTCCCCCTTTTCTTACTTGCTTTAATACCGGGGGGCGAGTAGGAGGAGTTGGGTCATCCACATCAAAGTATGGTGTCGCCGGACACGAACTTGAATAACCACCATCTTCACTTGTTTTCGTTCGCTTTGAACTTCCACCACTATTACGAGATGATTCGCAGTAACTGGCCTTCCATTTGGGCTCATCTCTGAGTATATGCCAATTATTTTCATGGACGAAATCTTTCTTCTCACTGTCATTTAAATATATCTTCTTTGCTGCATTGAGGACATCCTTGCTTGCATGTCCACTGCCTATCTTTCGATTAGCCTCCTCATAACACCCAACAAACTTTTGCACAGCCTTACATATTTTACTCCAACTCCAACGATTTTTACATTGAGTAACACCTCTGCTCGTTGCACTTTTAGGCTTGTTCTCCATATAGTACGATGCGATTCTTTTCCAAAAAGCACTACTTGGTAGGTCAGTGTTGGTTACATCATCCTTACTTGTGTTTAGCCATGCACTGATTAGAAGTTCGTCTTCGGTCGAGCTCCACACCTTCCTTGTATCTTTATTTTTTGTATTGTCAGGAACGTCATCATCTGCTAAATTGATAGGTGTGCAGTATTGTGGAGTGTCCATTGTTTCAGTGGCTTGCATCATGAATTGAGGAGATGATGAACTTCCGAATGCTTGAAAATTTGGAGGATAGAAGTTTGGAGGAATTTGATAATATGGTGGAGGATTGAATGGCTGAAATGGGACATTAGATGTAGGGAACATTGGTTGATTTCCTAACATGTTCATAAAACTTGGAAATCGAAAAGAATTTTGGTGATCTTGAGAGTTGGATGAATTTTGAGAGTTGGGATCCATTCGTGGGAAATTTAGGAGAAAATATAGAGAGAAGAAAATGAAGAGAGAAGATTTAAGGAGATGGTGTAGATCATATGAAGTAAGTATGTATAGTAAATATTGCAACGGCTATGTTCTTAACAGCTATATTCCCAACGGCTATATTCCTAACGGCTATATTCCCAACGACTATATTTCCAACGGCTATGTTCCAACGGCTATATTCCCAACGACTATATTCCCAACGGCTATATTCCTAACGGCTATATTCCCAACGACTATATTCCCAACGACTATATTCCCAACGGCTATATTCTCAACGGCTATATTCCCAACAACTAGTTTTTTTATTTATATATATGTTACCAATTCATATGCACATAATTCATTTACACAATAGTTCAATCTTTCATATTTTAAAACACATTTATTTTCTCCCAAAATAATGTCAACCCCATCCTTATTTCTGTCTGATTAATCTGACGAAGACTTGGAAAATATGTGTCAATTGGCAAAAACATATGCTCAATTGTATCAAGAGATTGAGCACATCAACAATGAAGATGAGGGAAGCTTGCGGCAACGTTGACGGAGAACATACACAGAGAGGAATCGTGAAGATGGTCATACTCGATTATTCAATGATTATTTTTCTGATAACCCCGTGTATCCAAGTTCTTATTTTCGGCGTAGGTTCCGAATGAGAAAACATGTCTTTCTTCGCATCGTAGATCGACTCTCCAATGAAATGGAGTTCTTTCAGCAACGGCGTGATGCTACAGGAAGAGATGGATTGTCAGCATTACAAAAATGCACAGCAGCAATACGTGTATGCCATACGGCACAGCTACTGACACTGTTGATGAATATCTTCGTCTTGGAGAGAGCACCACAACGGCATGTTTGAAGAAATTTGTTGAAGGGATATGTTCTCTATTTGGTAAGGAATACCTTCGACGACCAAATTCTGCTGATATACAACGATTATTATTTGTTGCAGAGACACGTGGCTTTCCAGGCATGCTAGGAAGTATTGATTGTATGCACTGAGAATGGAAAAATTGTCCGGCTTCTTGGAAAGGGCAATTCAAACGTGGAGATCATGGCAAACCTACAGTTATATTGGAAGCTGTAGCGTCATACGATCTATGGATTTGGCATGCATTTTTTTGGCACACCAGGTACATGCAATGACATTAATGTACTTGATTGATCTCCGGTATTCGTTGACGTTTTGAATGGGAGAGCTCCAGAAGTTAACTTTGTTATCAACGGTCATCAATATAATATGGGATATTATCTTATTGATGGAATTTACCCTCCGTGGGCAACTTTTGTTCAGTCAATTCGTCTGCCTCAAGGTTATAAAGCACAACTCTTTGCGCAACATCAAGAAGCGGTTCAAAAAGATGTGGAGCGTGCCTTTGGTGTATTACAAGCTCGGTTTGCCTTCATTAAAACTTCATCACTTATTTGGGATATCAATTTACTAGGTAAAATAATGAAAGCATGCATCATATTGCATAATATGATTGTAGAAGATGAAAGAGACACCTACATGCATTATTACGATACATCTCAATATGATCAAGTGGAGACAAGTGCTAACTCGAATTGGTCATACAACAATACGAGACATGCAACTATGGAGCAATATCTACAAAATAAAATGCGACTCCGAGCTAGGGAAACACACCATCAACTTAAAGCGGATTTAGTTGAACACATTTGGGATAAGTTTGGTCAATCGGGTATTTAATTTATTTGAAAAATATATTGTAATATTATGTATTTTTTTATTAAATTTGAGTTTTAACTTTAATTATTATGCAAGTGTGAAATTATTATTTTTATTTATTTTATTTATTTATGCTAAATAATTGTTTTATTTTTATTAAATATTATAAGAATAAAATATGATTGAAAAATATAATTTTATTTTATAAATATATAAAATATTTAATGATGCGGAAAAAATAGAGTTTTTAAAAGGTTTTTTGATGTGGATATAAAATATGATTGGAGTTCTTCGTGACGTGGAGGAGAGAGAAGCTGATGTGGTGCAGGAAAGAGAATGGGAAGAAACCCTGTATGAGTTTCTGCATTGCGAGTGCCCGAAGACGATTGAGATGCTTGACATGTCTGCAGCAGCACCATTCTTTTGCAAAATCATAACTTATACATATTTTAATTGTACGGATTTAGGGGTTGAGTTTTGAAATAGTTGAACTGAAATGATTGACTTCTTTCATAGGAGTCTTTTCTTTCCTAACTTTTTCATTCCGAAACCAAATTATTATATTCCTTACAGCCAGTCCAATAACATTTGTAATATATTTAGACACCAAAAGGGCATAATTATGTATGGAAAAACTAGAGTTCATTTCGAATTTTCTTTCCAAGAACGCTAGTACGCACAAAAGAATAGTTTGGTCCTCTCTCTTTTTATGTACGTGGAGAATCCCAAGTATAGAATCATCAATATTAGGAGGATCTTCATTCTGGTCTATTCCCTTTGCAACAACAATGTTTTTTAAGGCATTCCAACTTTCAACTTTCGATTCCTCACATGCATTCAGCAATGAGACACAAGACAATTGTAGCCCCAAAAGGCGTGCAAATTTCTTATCCCCAACAATTGACTTTCTTCGGACAATTTGAGAATTGGACCGGTCATATGAGTTCTCCAAAACAATTCTAGAAAGACTTTGGATTTTTCCTCGTGTCTAACTAGTTGAACAATAAGAAATATAAGAAAATGAAAGCCGACAACAAATGAACATACTAAGTGTTGGAATATCAAATTGGAAGACATAAAAATCAAGAAAGATTAATAAGAAAACAAATTGAAATACATATAGAATCTAAATTCAAATGGAGATACAATAAACCATCCAAATAATTCACAACAAGAATAAAATGATAAACAAAAGGGCTAGAATATTAGATTGGAAAGTAAAACACACAAGCTAAAATAACGCAAAAGTATAGAGAAGATGATGCACACACTAAAAATAAAAGGAAAAACCAAAAAGAAAATAAAAAATAAAATTGGTGATATGTTTTTATGTCTCTGTCCGTCCATAAACTATATTCTCCTTTCAAATTTGTCTTTAAATTAATATTCATTAATATACTTCATCAATACACATTACAAACTTCCAAATGTTAAATAATTCCATTAATTCTCCCTAAAACCCCTAAATCCTTTCATTCTTCTTTAAATTGGGCCATCTTCTTTAATATTTGAGTTGGGTTTACCATAATATTCTCCTAAATCAATAATTGTTCATCTTTTATTTTAATCTCACGATTTTACCCTGTATTTTGGGAAGTAAATCCCAAGTAATCTCAATCAATTTTCACTGTGCACAAGGAGTAATCAAGCTAGTTATTTCACGTCTTTGGAGGTTACCTCTTTTACATTAGCACTCCCTCCAAAAATTAATTCTTCATCTCTATAGTATTACCACTTAATTCTGAATTCTCTCAAAAGTCATCACCCACAAACCAATGACACGATAGGCGATTCCTCCTCTATACCCAAGAACGTTCCTCTCCCTCTTCGTAACCATCCGAATATTTTAACCATGGGAATACCTCATTCTCTCATTCTTCTTCTCCCTACTAGCAGCCAAAGACTTTCTTAACAAGTTCTTTCAAAAGAGAGTGGGTGGGTTGTCCTTGGGATTATGAAACAAGTTTCTCATTTTTTTGGCCATCATTTTCAGACATTAGAGACAAATTTCCAATCATTTGCTTGGAAAGATAACCTTCTAAGCCCGATCCTCTAATTCTCTAATGCGCTGGGAATATTCAAACCCATTAATGGTCAAATTAAATTCTTCTCAACATTCAAGATCTTGCAATATCATAGACAATGGAAGTACATATGCTTTCGAGAGCGTGACTTCATAGGGGGATCCGCCTCGGCCTTATAAGTCTCTGCTTTGTTTCATTCCAAAACATAACATTTTGATACAAGATAAAAGAGAAAAGTTGTGGCGTACAAATCCTTATGTCATAATATGGCTGAATAAGCAGGTTTCCCTTCAATCACATACAAGACTATTCGATCCTTCCTGGTTCATACATTAACCTCAACCATTATTACTCCAAAAGTTTTGTGGGCATTTCCAGTCACTACCAAAAAAAGGACTGTTTGTAACGGTAAAAAATCCGTAACAAAAACTCAATTTTTGTGCAAAATAGTATTTTGTGTCGACTTTGTTTCAGATTTTAACTGCTACGAAAAATCGCGGTACAAAAAGTCTATGTCGCAACAAATTCCGTAACAAATAAGTGGTGGTCAACCCTCAAAATAAGCACGTGTTAATTGTATTTGTTGCATTTTTTTTACGTAACAAAAGCATCGGTCATGTTTTTAGAACAACATATATCCGTAACAAAAAATTCGGAAAAAAAGTAAAATCCTGTCAGAGAACTATTTGTTACGACATATTTTCGGAACAAAAAATGCGATACAAATATGGAATCTTGTCAGAAAATTTTTTGTTGCAATCTTTGTCCGTAACAAACAATGTGCTACAAAAGTAGTGTCCTTTCAGAGAGCTATTTGTTGCGAAATTTGTCTGCAACCAAAAATTCGGTACAAATTTAATGCAAACGTACAGAAAATTCAATCTGCGTCACAAATAATTTAAAAAATATTTTATTATAATTTATCTGAAATCCTTGTTCATACGTACATAACAACTTCAATCCAAAAAAATTCGTATTCATGTCAAAAATAGAATACTAGGCATCAAGAGTGCTTTAAAGCATCTCAAAAAATCCACCATGCTATACACTATAACAACCAATTAACAACTTGCTAACACTTGATCCCCAAATCCAAAAGTAATGCGTGAATAAATAGATATGGTATCAAACTGCAGTACTATCCTAAGGTCGACTAACAAATACAATTATGAACGACCAAACTC